ATCCATTTAACCTCTATTAATATTGATTAGGTGGACAAGTTGGAAAAATGTTTTTTGGTATTCCATAATAGCATTATGTACACTAATTATTCTCTGGACCTGTGCATGAAATACAAGATGGATAATATTATCGTTTAGAGACATGAATATTTTTTAATGAAACCTATCCTTAAATTGCATTAGATGTAAATTTAATTTAGCCAGAAATTTAATTTGTACCTGTTGTTAATTGGATAGTAAAATTTACTGTTCTGACTTCAAAAGGAAGAGATTACAAAATCCCGGGGGAAGTATAGGAATATTTATAAGAAAAATTAATCTAATGTAAATTAAAAAATTTGAGATGACCATGTACCTTGTTAATATAAATCCACAGATATCCAGTATCCATCCATGAATGTGTAGTAAAAATAATTTTGAGAAGATGTATGTGTATTATCTAAAAAATGTAGCTTGGGGTTGTACAAGTAATAAGTTTGCAGTAGTTTAGGTTGATGGCTCTAGTAAATATCCAGCAGAATAATATGCTTGCTTCTGTAGTAAATTTCTGATCAGAGTTTAATAAATTAGTATAGGTTATCCAGTATGTATATGAAACTTCAATCAAAGCCAAGAGGAAATAGATCAAAGTCTCCTATAATAGAACTTTTTTAATAGAATTTCAAAAATTTTCAAGTTGTTAATAGGAATCAAAAAATTTCTAAAAATTGATAATCTTTATAAATAAAATGTTGAAATTCCTTTAGAAATAACTTTAAATTACTAAATAAGAAATCTGTTACATTAAATAAAAGAATTAAATTATTCATGTATTTCTGAAAATCAATAAATTATATTTCTCTAAAGAATAGCAATATTCCCAAGTAATGTCAATAGAAGGGTTCTGTAATATTTTTAAGATATTTTGCATACTATACTTTTGATCTTCAGTTATCCAAATATATTATTACGTCTAAAATTACGAGACTGCTATACTATAAAATCGATATTTTTGATTTTCATGATCAAAATAACATTATATCTATTTTAACTGCCTTTAACTGATATTCCTTCAATATTCATCCTATAAGCATGCATCTTATCTTTACAATAAGGTTAAAAAGTTAATTCATTATAATTGATAACGTAATTCTAATAGTAATCAAAATTGATTCTACTTTTTCATTAATTTTTATTTAGTGATTTAGTAACAAGAATTGAATCAAGAAAAGCATCTATTTCCTGAAAGAAACTAGTGAAAAGATTTTACAGGAATAATTTATGCAATCTCCTCAAAACATTCTTAATTATTTTTTCAAATTTGGAAACAATTAAATTAATATTCATTTAATTAATTATTGACAGACTTGAAATTAAGCGCATGTATAGCTAGATGTTCATTTCGATAAAAAAAAATTGATGAGAGCATTTATTATGATCAAAAAAGTTTAAGTAGTAAATATAATTTAAAATTACATACAGAAAATTGTTTAGATATTATTTATTATTATTATAATTCACTTATTATAATTGATACATTCTCGAATTTAGAGTTCTTTTGATTTATAGTCGTAAGTAATCAAAAAGTCTCCATCATCACTAAAAGTTCCATATAACCAATTTTCTTAAAAATCAATTGATTCTATTAAATCAATACATTTAGAACAATATGTAAATAAATTGACGTTAGAACAGTTTTTAACTACTATAATTTATTTATTTTTGTTATATAATGCTGGAAAATATGGTTAACATCCATAATCAGATATTTTAATTGGCACATCTTTTAATTTAATGTATAAAAGGGAGGTATCAAGATAATAAATTTCAAGATGTTCCTAATTATATGGTTGGAAAACAAAAACATTATTAGGTAAATAACAAAGACGAACTCCATCCCCTTTAATTTTCTATTTAACCGTCCAACATTCTTTAAACTCTAGAATCAGAATCGTTTTATCTTCAGAACAAGAAATGACTTCATTACATTGTTCATTTAATGATAATCCATATACATCTTTAGTATGTTCATTTATACTTTAATATAAATAATATTGTTGATTATCTAAATGAGATCTATACCAAAATTTGATAGTCTTGTCACGACTACCAGTTATTATTATATTACTATCTAAACTTAATTACACACAAGTGATTGTTTTCACATGCCCTTTTATTTTTTATGTAAACTTTTTTGAAGTTACCAAATATTATGGCCAAACAATCAGAATACCATCCAGTGAACCAGATACAAAAAATTCCTTTTATTACATAAAAGCTAAAGTAGATATACCTTAAACATGTCCTCCTATAGATTAAATATATTTTATTTTCTTATGGTTAAAATTAAAGATTTTAATATTTGATGAAGCTCCCACTAATAATATTTAATTATTTTTATTTATTGCTATGGCCTAACACCATTCCTCTAATTTTTTTGAATATCTATGAATAAATTAATATTTTTAGTTCTGAATATTAAATTATTTAGATTTTTGTTAACTGCACTTGCTACCCATTTTTAATCTTAATTATTTTAAGAATTTAATATTTTATCAAATAAATAATATGATTTTAGAAGTGATTAAAATAATATAAATCTTAAAATAGTTGTCAAACCTAAAAAAATTGATTTTTCAGTAGAATTTATAATAAATTATGATAAAAAAGAAATACAAATAATAGAATGAAAATGAAATTGAATATATTTAAAATCTCTAAAAGAAAGGCGAATATGGTAATGATTTCAGGGATTCTGAAAAGTGGATTAACATATGGAATGGAGAAAATTTTATGAAATCTAGGTGGTATGTATAGTAGAGATAAATCTTTATTTCTTTTTGTCTTTATTGTTCTCAGAAGAAGGAAAAAAACAAGGACAATGGAAAGAACTATTTCAAAATTATTGGAGATTAGTTTTTATATATTAATCATTATAATAAGTACGGCTTAAGTTTATGAAGTAGGAGAATATATTTAAGGTTAGAGAATAGGTTTATGGAAATACTTTTATGGTTACATCTTGATAATTTTATAATGCTTCAATCAACTAATCTTCTTGATTATTCACTTTTTCTAGAATAGATTAAATAAAAAATTATTTTTTTATCAGATTATCATCCTTTAATAGTCCTAAATTTTCTGTTTCCATTAAATCTTTAGTAGATCAATCAATCACGTTTTTTCCTAAATCTCTCAAAATAAATGTTTTTTTTAAAAAGAATCATACTTTAATGTTTTATTTATTATATAATGGCATCTTCAATTTGAAATTTCTTTTAGATTTTACTAAAAAATATATATATTCTATTTTACTAAGCTAGCAATATGTAATTATTCTTTTTATTATTAGATTTAGATGGATTCATTGCCTATTTATGTTTATTTATATGGATCTTAAGCCATTTTAAGTAAATAAATAAAATTAAGATAAATTATTATTCTTGCCTTATATATTCCTATCTATTTCGCAAACATATTTCAACAAGTATCTTACAAAAATACTATAGCACAAAATTGAAAAAAATTTAGCCTTATTATAAAATGTATGAAGACACACAATAAATATCAATTCAAATAAAGCATATTAAATTAGTATTAATGATATTTATTTAAACAAAACACCAAATCTGATTTTAGGTTTTGAGAAAATAGTTTAATCAAAATGGGTTGACAATACTCCATTTTAATCTTTAAATCAATGAAATAAAAATATACTTTTTTATGATATATAGTTATTACATAATTACTTATAAATTCTGGGTTTATCATCAACATTTTCTATTAGTAATAGAAATTCAATAGTAAAATTATCTATCAATACTAATAAAATCTTTAAACAATTTTAACGTGTAAGTATATTAGCGATTCTAGTGATTAATATTTTTCCTAGTTTTTTGGATACTTTATAAAATTAATAGAAATATAATTATAATTAAAATGTTAAAATTAAACTATGTTTCATAAGAGATTTATAATTTTGAGAATTATGAAGAATTGATAAATGTCTTAAATTTAGATTAATTTGAACCAGATTTGATCCAGTTTCTAAATCAATTATTTATCAAATAAATCATAATAGATAATTATTTATATATGAATTTTTTAATAGGAATCAACCTTATTGAAAGAACTAATTTTAATAACTTTAGAAATTTAATTTAAACTTCATAACTACTAATAGAACCCTAAGGCTTAAAGTTGATGTTTTAGGATTAAATTTATTTCTAAGAATCATTTGATAAAAGCTAAGCATTCAAAGATGATAGAATCTATTCTAAAAATCTAATTAATCTTTTCTAGGACCATCAACACGACGATTGAAAAATCAAGAGAATATCTCTAGTAAGGTGTTGAATCAAGTAATACTTAGATTAAAATTAGATCAGCTTGGATATATCTATAAGCCTATTGATCTTGAAATCTTATAAAAAGGCAATCAAATCGAAGGAAATCATTCTATGTGAGATCTAAAATCATGTTGTGTTGTGATAAATTTAATTCTTATGTGAATAAGATTTATGAATTTAAATATTAGATTTATAATTTTATTTCTATTTTATAATATGATGAAAATCTCTTATATTCTATTGAAATATTCGATAATAAAATGTTTAGTTAATTGCATCATCAAATTTTCAGGAGATTGATTATCTTATAATCAAAAATACTGATCGATCCTCAATTTTATTTTTAATATAATTGAGAATTAAATCAATTTTCATGATTTTATATGAATTCAATATTTTAAGTTTTTAATGCCAAAATTCTATTATTATTTAGACGTATAAATATTATTTACTTATTGCAATTTAATTTATGATAGTAATGGTTATAAAATTGAAATGAAAGACTTGCCAATTAAGAAAGAATTTAAATAATAGAGTTTTTAATGAATTAATTAATAAATATATTTCTTCTTAATCAAATCGGCATATAACTGTTTCCGATCCAAGTAAAATTCATAATAAAACAATTGAAATAACTTTACGGTTTTTTATATCATATTAAAAAATTTGTTGATTAAGATATTATATATCATATATAAGAATTTTAATATTCACCCTTTTATATCATTTAAATATTAAATAATTGATCATGCAAAACTTTTCAAACTCCCTTAATAATTTCTTATTAAAGTAACAGAGCTTATTAATTGTTTTCTACTAGTGCAGCACTTTCAAACTGAGGATCAGATATACTTAACACTTCCTCTTATTTTAAACATAAAACTGTATTATTTTAAAATCCTCTATCTACTCTTTATGATTTTTTTTTGAATAATACATAATATAAATTCATTGAGATACTTTAAACAAGAAAGGGGATATAGATGAAAAAGAATTAAATATTTTGATAACTTATAACTAATTTCAACTTACAAAAAATAAACTAAAAAGTCATAAAAAATTTCTAATTGAATTGCCTTATTTAAAATAATTTTTAATTTGGAACAATTATTTTCTCTCCATTATAGCAGATTAAAAGGAGAGATCAATTAGGATTATTTAGGTTGTGAACTTTTAATAATAAATTTGAGTTGTTATAAATTTATAAATGATAAATTTTTTAAATTTAAGATAATGAGATAAATCCTGTTTATAAATTAATTTTAATATATTCAAATAAATTTAATAAATTAGTACAAGTCTTTCTCTAAAAATATTATTTTTATTTTAAATTTAAACATTTGTTTAATATAAGATAAATAGAAATAGTTTACCTTACAAAAATATTAGTTTATTTAGCTTCAGATTTTTAGATGATAAAACTATTTGATGATTTTTTATGCTATATGCAATTATTCTAATTTTATTATTAATCTCTAGAATTAGTCTTTTGAATTAATTCTAATCTGCTAAACAATTTTTAATAGCTTATTCATAACTTCTATAGCTTCCGTATACGGCTT